GGGGGTATAAGGCACAGAACTGAGCTGCAACGCTTGGAAAGAGAGTTCGTGGGACTGATTTTCCTCTTTTTTCCAGGTCAAATGGTGAAGCCGCTATCACTGACCTGCCCTGACTTCCAGGATCCCTTTTCCTTGACTGAGAAGCCTCCTGCTGAGTTTTGTCTGTCCCCAGACGGCAACTCAGAAGCCATTTCCATTGACCTGCTTCAGAAAAAAGGTGGGTATTCCCCCAGCTCAGGCCAGGAGTTCTGTTGTCACTACCTGTCTGTGCCTATCGCCCTGCTGCCTGGCCCTCCAGAATATTTCCCAACCTTAGAATTCCGGGTGCCAGGAAGGAATTAGAGAGCACAGGCATTGGGGAGAGAAGTCATGTACCATGTGCCATGAGTGTGTACATGTGAGGAAGGGTCATTGATCAGGTGCTTTGGAGTCAGGCTCCAGTCTTTTCTCTCCGGGAACTTAGTGAGGGAGACTCAAGTCATAAATAAATGTCCATGTGCTCTAATGGGGGGGGAATTCACTTACCACAGGGCCTAGAGGTCGGGGTAAACATGATGGTAACATCTAGTAAGACATGGACTGACAAGGAATCAAGCTATTTAGCAAATATGAGACCATAAGAGAGAGCAGTTTCAGTGCGATGATGGAGAGAAAAAACTGAGGGGCTGAAGGGGAAGGAGCTTATTACTTAAAGGGGAGAAAGATGAAACTAAAGTCCCTTTCAGAGGCAGAGTGGGAGATTGAGAGCTTAGGGAGAGGGAAGAACCTTGGGCAAGAAGGGGAGCAGCCACCTTCCTCCAAAAGATGGAGAGAGTGAGAGGGGCAGCAGCGGGGAGGAGAGAAATGATATAGTTACGTCTTTTGGATGGAGAGGAAAGTTATAGGAACTCATGACCAGTGGCCTCTGCTCTCTGTGTGAAGCAGAACCAAGGGCTTGAGAAGAGGGGTAAAGATTAGGCATGGCAACTTGAGAGCATAGCCGAGGGTGCCACAAGGCACACTTCAGAGAAGTGCCCTTGTCGCTCACTGGTGTGAGTGGCCCTGGACTTTACCCAGCAGACAGTAGCCTGGTGTCTCAGAGTGGAGAAGACAGATAGATTGACCCAGGATTGGAGTAAGATGGCAAGGAAGTTAGGGCTTTGAGGGTCTCAATAATGTAATCATTAAAGTGGGTCCCAGCTGGGACGTGAAAACAGGAGGGGCTGGAGAACTGGGAAAAACAGGAAGTGGCCTGGGCCTGGTACCTTGATGAGACCCATGTTGCAGGGACAGAGAGAGTGTATGGAAGCCCATCCTCCTCCCACGGAGGGCTCAGTCCCAGCTGAGTTGCTCAGGGACCTTTCGGGGAGCTGTTACATCAAATCCTCGCTTGCAGGGCTGGTGAAAGCTGTTAACACTGCAGTGGACCTCATCGTGGCCCATTTTGGCACAAGCCGGGATCCTGGGGTGAAGGTAGGCAAGAAACTGTGGAGAGCTGAGCTCTACCTGCTGACCCTCACCTTCCCTGTGCTGCCACCTCGAACCCAGAGTTGATACTTAGGAATGGGGATCACAAAGAAGCACCATAAGGGCTAAGAAGGTCAGAGAGGACCAGGGTTGAACTTGCAGTGATCCCCTGTACTTCCCTACTGCCTCCACAGGCAAAGCTGGGGAACAGTTCTGTTAGCCCCAACGTAGGCCACCTGGTCCTCAAGTACTTGTGCCCCGCGGTCCGGGCTGTGCTGGAGGATGGGCTCAAGGCCTTTGTGCTGGATGTCATCATCGGGCAACGTAAGAACATGCCGTGGAGTGTGGTTGAGGCTTCTACACAACTAGGTAAGTGCTGTGTGCAAGATGGGGACCCCAGGGTGAATTTAGGGTTCCAGAGATTGGGCATGTGACCCGCAATTCTGGCTTCCTCCCAGGCCCGTCCACCAAGGTCCTGCACGGCCTCTACAACAAGGTCAGCCAGTTCCCGGAGCTCACCAGTCACACCATGCGCTTTGACGCCTTCGTCCTCGGCCTGCTCAAGTGAGTGTGGTGGCGCAGCGAGATCTGCAGCCACCAGCCCTCCCCCTGGTCACGGCTGCCTCTGAGGAAGCAGCTCCCTACCTGAGACAGAAAGGGGGATCTGTGGGACCTGCTGCCAGAGCACGGGCTCACTGCTCTCCCCCTAGCTCAGCCTCTCGGTATATCAGTGGTTTCCCACCACACGCACGATCCTCTGGCACTGACACCAACACGGTCTTCCGCTTTTACAAATCCACAGTCTGGCTTCTTTGGAAATTAATCTGGTTCTGTTTCTCTGGATATTGTAAACCCTGATCCTCTCAATGCCAGCACTGCTCCCAAATCCTGCTTGACCCTAAGTCCACCTTGGGATCCATGTCATAGTATTTTCTTTCTCAAGCATGGGCCCAGGTCACCCCCTTCGGCTCTGTGCTCCACTCAGGAGCTGCCCTGACTTCCTGGGTCTTGTGCAAAGTGACTCCATTCTAGAAGGAAGTGACTGGTTTGTGAAACACATGTTCACCACCAGCGCCCCCCCAACCCCCGCCCCACATCTTCACTGACTTTTCAGAACTACATGACATAAAATGAACCAGGTAGCATCCCTGCCATAGAAGAGAGACGTTCACCTGTAGTCTGCCCTGTGTCTGACCCTGTGTCTGTCTCCTTTGCACCTTATGATCTGGCGATGCCCACATAAGACTCAACTCTCTTCACCTATCTCCCTACAGCATCCGGTCCCTGGAGTTCTGGTTTAATCACCTCTATAACCACGAAGGTAATGCCCAGAACCCTGCCCTGTCTTGCAAACTCATCATAGGCCAGGCCTCACAGGCTCCAGAGCGAGGCACAGCTGTCTTTTCAGATGCTAGAGGTGGAGAGGGGAACCATGCAAAGCTTGGGCTTCTACTAGAGTCCTTCCCCAGCTTCTGCTGTGGCAGAGCCTGGCAGTCAGCGGGACACTCAGGCCATCTGAGCTCACGGCTGCCCCTTAAGGTGCAGCTAATGCACCAACACTTCAGGAATCGCCTCCACTGTAGTGCCTCTAAGTAGCACATTACAGCCTGTGCAGCACGATGCAGTGGCCCTGCCCAGGTTGCCTTTCAAAGGCCACGCCAGGCCAGGCTCTGCCTTCCTGTGCGGCTCAGTCCCTCTCTCTTCCTCCCTAGATATCATCCAGACCCACTACCAGCCATGGGGCTTCCTGAGTGCAGCGCATACCGTGTGCCCTGGCCTCTTCGAGGAGCTGCTGCTGCTGCTGCAGCCCCTGGCCCTGCTGCCCTTCAGCCTGGACTTGCTGTTCCAGCACCGGCTGCTGCAAAGTGGGCAGCAGCAGCGGCAGCACAAGGAACTGCTGCGCGTGTCCCAGGACCTGCTGCTGTCCGCCCACTCAACGCTGCAGTTGGCCCGGGCCCGGAGCCAGGAGGGCCCCGGAGACATGGACAGCGCAGCCCATGGGAAACGGGTGAAAGGTGTGGGTGCCCCAGAAGGGGGAGAAGATGAGGAAGAGGAGGAGACGGAAGAGGTGACAGAGGCAGCTGCGGGCTCGGAGCGTGGCAGGGCCCGAAGTGGGCAGTCTGGTTGGTGGTACCAGCTCATGCAGAGCTCCCAGGTCTACATTGACGGCTCCACTGAAGGTTCTAGGTTCCCCCGTGGTGGCAGCAATAGCTGCAGTGGCGGCAGCAGTGAGAAAAAGAAAGGGGCAGGAGGTGGGGGGCCACCCCCGCGAGAGGGAGTAGTAGAGGGAGCTGAGGCCTGCCCTGCCCCTGAGGAGACCCTTGGCCGGGATAGGGGCTGGCCCTTCTGGATGGGGAGCCCCCCTGATTCTGTGCTGGCTGAGCTGAGACACAGTCGGGAGAGAGAGGGGTCTACTGCCCCCCCAGCAGAAAGTGAAGAAGGAGCCTCCGGACCGTCACCTGGGGGCATCAAGTGGGGACACCTCTTTGGATCCCGAAAGACTCAACGGGAGATCCGGCCCACAAACAGGTGAGAGGCAGCCCGTAGTGTAGACAGAGGGAGTGGGGAGCCTGGTCTAAGCCAGAGCTCAAACCCCTGACTGCTAACCCCTAGGCTGCCCTCGGACTGGCTGAGTCTGGACAAGTCCATGTTCCAACTCGTGGCGCAGACCGTGGGTGCCCGCCGGGAGCCAGAGCCCAAGGAGAGCCTGCAGGAGCCGCACGCTCCAGCCCTGCCCTCCAAGCCTCCATGGTGAGCCCTGGGGGCCTGAAGGACTAGGGACTGGGTTTTGTTTGGGTGGGGTTTCTCTGACCTCCATTTGTTGTTTCTCCAGCGAGGTAAAAGCACTGTGCCACCATCTGGCCACAGGCCCTGGACAGCTGAGCTTCCACAAGGGAGATGTCCTCCAAGTGCTGGGGCCAGCCGGAGGAGACTGGCTGCGCTGCAGCCGTGGCCCTGACACTGGCCTGGTGCCTCTGGCCTACGTGACCTTGACCCCAACTCCAAGTCCAACTCCTGGAAACAGCCAAAACTGAGGTCCTCTGCATGCTGGTGGCCTCAGGGACCCTCATAACCATCAGACTCAGAGCCCGAGAGTCCCCCCCAAGCCCTCTGGCTTGGTTGTAGAGAGCAGACTGGGAGCTGGGGCCATGTATTCCTGTGCTCAGTATTAATTACCCCTCCCCCAACTGTCCCATGACCATGTCCAGACCACCCAGGAAAGGAGGGAAGGGGCGCAGCACTGGGCTGCCAGGGTTTCCCCGGCCCATCTGGGCCAGCCTTTCCATGGGTACAGACAGGCATGTCCCTGTGGATGGAGGTGACCAGAAGGTCCGTCCGCAGGGCTCCCAGGCCAGGTAGTGAGGATGATGGGTGACAGTGAAGGGGCCAGATCCCTAAGCTCCCAGATGTAAATAGGCTGTGGCCAATGCCTGGTGGTCAGAAGAGGGAGGAGCAGCCCAGGCTTCTGTTTATGTATTTATTTATTTATTTATTACACCTATTAATAAAAAAGGTGCTTGGCCTCCAAACCATTCTCTTTGTGCCTCCCCCTACCCTCCAGTCCATCTCTCTCTCTTCCAAAAGCATGGCTGGGATACATGAAAAGGGAAGAAGGAATTTGAAGTCCAGGTACCTACGCCACGAGCTGCTTCTGGATGGTGCTGAGGCCCAGAGCATCCTGGGTGAGATGCCCATATGTGCGGCCAAACTGGAACTTATATCCTGTGTGGTCAAGAGAGTCTGTCACATGTAGTCAGTGGCATGGAAAAGCCATTTATTTCTCAGCCAGTTGCCTAGACCCTCCAAGCTGTCCTCCAAAATCTGGTCCTAATTCCCCACTGTGAGCTCCCTCCGTTCCTCAGTTTTCTTTCCTGCCCAATGATAAAGCTGAACTGCATGCCCTGAGGTCCCCTCATATCTATTATTTCCAACTACCAAAACTACCTCCACCTCTCTCTCTCTCTCTCTCTCTCTCTCTCTCTCTCTCACACACACACACACACACACACACCCTCACCTGGCACATAGCCTCCATAGTTAGGCAAAAGACCCAGGTTCTGAGGGTAGGTCCTTGAAAGTGGGGGGAGATGTTTGAGATCCTTCTGGCGTTTGCCCTTTGAGCACATCTGTCCAAATTCCTGCAGTGCCTGGTTGGTGAGCACAGGAAAGCTGGAGCCGAAGAGGAAGCGGGCACGGGGCACATAGCCAGTGAAACCTGGGGAGTGGGGATTCTGGGTCAGGACCTCCTGGGGGCCTCCCACGCCTTTAGTCATTACCCACCTCCCTCACCTGACATGAAGAACTTGTGGGGATCTCCGTCATCCATGGAATAGGGGGAAGCCTTGTGAGGGGAGTTGACAGAAGAAAAACGGTGCTATCAAACTTAGCCCCCGTGCTCTGACACAAGCTCCCAGGGAGTGGAGCTGGCAGGCAAGCCCATGTCCCCAGCCTACACAGAGGTACGGCTCCCCACTCCCACCACACTGCACCCCCCCGCTCCCCCCCACTTCACAGCCTCACTTGTCCTGCCTCCTGCCCCAGCTCTGCCCCCTGCGCCTCCAGCTCTGGCTTCAGCTTTGGCTCTGATTCTTGGTCTTCCTCCACATCTTCTCCCTTGACCTGCTTTGACAGCTCCTGACTCCCTTGTTCTCCGTGCCACTGAGTAAAACCATTCAGAACCTCAGCCCAGACCCGGCTGCAGTTCTTGGCAAAGATGAACTGTGCCTGGGGGATAAAACCTGGGTGGGCAGGGGGCACAGAAGAGCTCTGTTAGTGTGTGGGACACACGTTCAGGGATGGGGCACCCGTTTATATTTGTGTACATACCTGTGTACCCAGGGATCATGCTGGAACTGAGCCTCTTGTGCCCACTCCTGACAGGCAGGCTTCCACGAGGAACCTCGGGAGATCTTGGAGGCCGAATGGGAGGCAGAAGTATGCGATGAGCAGGGGGCCAGGCTATGCCAGGAGCTCCCCGGAGTAGCTGACCGGATCTGCCCATTTTTTTTTTCTGAACCGAAGCAGTGGGCAGTGTCCGGTGTACCTGTGGCACAGGACTCCCCCACTCATCTCTAGATTCCCCCTGCCCACCCTCCCCAGAGACGGAAGCAGAGAGCTCTGAAGCCCTGATCTTTTCTGGACTCGGCTGGTTGTACATTTGGAGCAGGCATTTCCCTCTGCTGCTACCCTGTTACCATGGAAAAGACAACACAGAGCTTTGTGGCCGGCCTGGCTACTATTCCTTGCTTTTCATTTTCTATCCAACACCATCGATATCCCAGCCCTGGGCCTGCTGTACAGGTGTGTCCACTCGGCCCCCAAGGTCTAGGTGCACAACTCCTGTATCCCTAAACCCCCATTCCCGGAAGCACGCAGGGCTGTGCTCTGGGTAGAAGTCTTACCCGGGGATATAATGAGGATTCTGAGGGTTCAGCCCGGGTATGAAGGTGCTGGCCATAGCCATGGGAACACAGGCTGTCTCTCTTGTTTCCCTTTGAGCGAGCAGAGGCTCTGGGCTGTTTACCCGGTGTCCAGGGCTGTGGGGCGGGGCCAGAGGCAGGGGTGGAGCGAAGGGAGGAGAGAGGGGAGGGGGCGCTAGTGTGATGATGGCCTGGGCCAAAGCCAGCAGAACCTGAGAGCAGAGGCTCACAGGTCTCTCTACTCCAAAACAAGTGCAGTCCTGCCACGTGGGGGCAGGGAAGAGGGGCAGTACAGCCTCGCCACTCCAGGACCCCGAGGAAGGCCTGAGGTGGAAGGGCGAAACTGTTAGGTCTCTTCAGTTCTATCTCAAAAGAGGGCCCTTCCTTCTTAAGCCCTCATCTGAGCACCTGCCTGAGGAGACGTGGATTCGCTCTTTGTGAGTCTTGACTAAAGGTGACGGAGCTCACTGGAAAGAGGGTCTCTGAGGGGAGTCCGAGGGGAGGTGATGCGGGGAAAAGGAAACTAGAGGCCTCTAGGCAGGGTGACATCGTAATTGTCACTAGTATAACTTGACATTTACTGAATGCCTACCGTAATCTGGATCATCACCCACTCAACAAATAGACCTGCCACTCCCTGCTAGTCACTTCCCCGTGGCACAGGGTGTACTATGTAGGAGTCAGAAAAGCTAAGCTTCACGTGACCGGGCAAGTCATTTACTATCCTAAACCCCTCTGTCACTTACAAAAGGCAGACACTATCGGCACCCTGCCACTGTTGTGAGGCTCAAATCAATGTGTGCAAATGTTCTGTAACAACCAAGACCATGAAGTAATTGAGTACAGGAGTCTCGAGTTCAGAGGACAGACTGGATCGAGAGAGAAAAAGTGGTAGCCACGAGAATATAAATAGTATTTAGAGCCTTGGAGTTATGGAATGACCTACCATGTACGGGTGTAGAGAGAAGAGAAGAGGTCCAATGATGGAGCTGTGGATACACCACTGTTTAGAGATCAGGAAGATGAAGAAGAAACAGCAAGAGAGACCTAAGAAGACAATAAAACTAACTGAAGAAAGTAATTCAAGATATGATAATGGTATTATGGTGACATAGAAAATGATCTTAGCAGATAATGCTAATGAAGTGTCACAGTGCCTGAAACTTATTTTTCAAATGGTACAATAAAAATTATATATGAGCCCTGGCCAGTGTGGCTCAGTTGCTGGAATGTCGATCCTGATGGAGGCATGTACAGTAGGCAACTGATCAATGTTTCTCTCTCTTTCTCTCTAAAAATCAGTAGAAACATGTTCTCGGGTGAGGATTTTAAAAAGTTATATGATGTGATGCCCTATCCTACCATACCATACCACATGAGAAAGAAGAGAGAGAACAAACACAATAAAATATAAACAATTGTTGAGTCTAGGTGAGAGTGTACGGTACAGCTGTTCATTGTGCATTCCTTCAACTTCTTTGCATGTTTGAAATTTTTTATAAAAAGGTGGTGCAGGGGGCTGTTTTGAGAACAGGTAATTGACTATGTGCTTTCATTTAACTGCTTTTCCTAAGGTCAAATAACCTACATCCCTAGTGCCCAGAATGTGTTCTCTAAATACCATTTCCAATTAAGAGGGACCATGAATCATTGGAGAAAATCGCTGATACCAGCTCTAGTCTAGGAACGCACAAAATGAGCCTGGAAAATTTTATCATATCAAGGAGCAAGAAACCTTAAAAAGGTCATAGCAAAAGGACTCTCAGGCGCCAACTTGAGTAAGTTCTCACTGGCCAAATAGGTCAACTTAAGCATCAAAATATTTAAAAACTGCCAATGATTGAGACACATCATATATGTGTTAAAGTATTAGTCATAATAGTACCAAAAAAAATCACTGGTTCCTTTAGAAAATGCTAGGTAACCAATTCATTACTTTAAAAGCTGATAAAATAAAAGGGAAACAAATCAACATTTTTCTTGCTTTCCTATATGAAACGTAGCTCTAGGAAACAAACAGTTAATGTGTAAAAGTTTCTCTTTGTAGAGGTATTTATTCTGCCTAACAAAGAAGGAAGGCTCAAATGAAAATATTATGTTCTAAATCCTCTATTAATGAACCTAGACCAGTGGTTCTCAATCAAGGACATTTAGCCCACTAAGGGAAATTTAACAATTGTCTGGAAGCATTTTTGGTTATCACAATTGGGGGAGTTGCTACCGGCATTCAGTGGGTAGAGGCCAGAGATGCTACTAAACATCCTACAGTGCAGAGAACAACTTCCTACGAGAAAGAACTATCCAGCCCATAATGTCAACAGTGCCAAGTTTGAGCAATGCTAGTCTAGACAACGATCACCATTAATTACTAATATCACAAAAAGACCACCACTGTATGCCTCCTGGTAAATGCAGTAAAACCACCTATGAATTAGTTTTACCAAAACAATCAAATCTAAATCTGATTAAGCCTCTAACTAACAATTTGTCACAAATACAGAGCTGAGGAACACACTAAATTATGCCAGTAGAAGCTCAGCAAAATTCAGACTTTGAGAAACTTTACAGGATAAATGACCTGGTTTCTTAAAAAATAAATTAATTAAATAATAAGGGGGGAAAGATGGAGAATGGACAAAGTCTTTTAAAAATTCAAGAGACTGCCAAAAGCAGTTTGGCTCAGTGGATAGAGCATCAGCCTGAGGACTGAAAGGTCCCAGGTTCGATTCTGGTCAAGGGCATGTACCTGGGTTGCGGGCACATCCCCACTGGGAGATGTGCAGGAGGCAGCTGATCGATGTTTCTCTCTCATCGATGTTTCTGACTATCTCTCTCCCTTCCTCTCTGTGAAAAATCAATAAAATATATTTAAAAAAAAATTCAAGAGACATATTAGCTGCAAAGTATGGTCCTTACTCATGATTCACATAAACAATTTTTTAAAACTAAATATAGCTCTAGCTGGTTTGGCTCAGTGGAGAGTGTTGGCCTGCGGACTGAAGGGTCCCAGGTTCAATTCCAGTCAGGGGCACATGCCTGGGGTTTCAGGCTCGATCCCCAGTATGGGATGTGTAGGAGGCAGCCGATCAAGGATACTTATCACTGATGTTTCTATCTCTCGCCCCCTCTCCCTTCTTCTAACATCAATTTTAAAAAAAATTAAATATAAAACAATGGGGGAAATGTGAATATCTAGATGCTTGATGACATTAAGAATTGTTCATTTTTTTCAGATGTGATAACCATGATTTTGTTTTAAAGAAGAACCCTTATGTTTTAGAGAACATACTGATAAACATATTGATAAAGTGATACAATGTCAGAAATATGCATCAAATAACTGGGGTGGGGGGAGGACAGCAGGGGTATAAAAGAAGCAAAATTGGCCATGAGTTGATCATTGGAGAATCATTGGGATAAAAGGTACATGAAGTGGTACTTTTACTCCGACAGATCGCTGAGAGCTACAGCACGGCTGAGGCACGGGTCTCCAACAAAATGAACTCACTCTCCCAGGTAAATAAGGGCCCGTTGTTCTATTCTCTGCTTATGTTGGACATTTTCCATCATAAAAAGTTTGAAAAACAACAAAAGGATCTGCTAATAAGCTGATTCAAGAAACATTTAAAATTTATCTTAGCAGACCCCTCTGCACTATTTAGTGCTGTTCATTATTCCATTTTCCCTAAATGCTCCATCCTTCGAGTCCATGGTACCGGACTCTCTAAATTCTCTTCCTGTCTTTTAGCTTGTTTCTCCTCAGTGTCCTTCATGGACTTCTCTTCCTCCATCCACTGCCCTTTAATGCTGGTTTTCCCCCGGATTCTGCCAGCCTATTTCTCCTTCTTTATACCCTACGTGGACGATGGCATCCACCTTCATAGTTTCCCATCACCCCTTTGTTTATGGAAATCATTTACCATCCTTTACTCAGCCTTTCCTCCTCCTGGATTTTTTATCCCAGTTGTTATCTCCTCATCATCTAAGCTTGAAATTTAAAAATTTTCCTGGCTGATGCTCTTTCTCTCCCCAGGACCGACTTTGGATACTAATCAATCAGCCAATTTTCCCAAAGGGCATGGCTGTTTCCTCCTCCCCTTCCCTATCACCCCTGTCCTAGTTCAGTCCCTCATCCTCTCCTGAGTCCTTGTCAGAGCCTCCCCCCTAATCAGACTCTCTGCCTCCATGCAGCCACCACGGTAGCCTTCCTGAAACAGAAACCTGGCGGCTCTGCTTGGAATTACTATCATCAACCATAATAATTCTCAAACTTGGATAAAGGGTCAGACACGTGTCAAAGTACCTATTATAATCTTATGTAAACGAAATGAGGCATAAATCCCTAGTATTTATAGATAGCATACTTCTATACAAAGCAAGTTTACAAGTTAAACCGTTGTAGATGCTAACATTAATTCCATGTGAAGAATGAGTGTGTCGGGCTGAGACCAGATTGCCTCTGGGAGGATGGATGTGATGCACAAGGTCCAGGCACAGGTTTCTCCGGATTGGTCTGTCTCAGCTGGCCTGGAGGGCCGTGGTCTCTTCGGTTCTTCCCTCCAAACTCGTGCAAAACCTTCCCACACCTAGGCAGCCTCTGGTCTTCTCCCGACCCTCATGCTTCTTTTGTCATTTAAGACTGACTTTATGTATGCTTTTTCCATCCACCCTTAACAAGGAGCACTTGGTCCCCACTCTCATATACCTGAGGCCTCTAGTTTTCTTTCCAGCTTACCACAGAAATAGAAACACTAGAATTTCTCAAAAGCACTCAGCCCGCTCCTCCAAGGTCCGAGGCCTCCACTCCCGCCTCCCTCCGTCCCGCCGCTAGGGGGCGATCACCCACGCCCAGCGCCGCTCCTCGGGAAGCCGCCGCCGGTATGCAGTGACGTCACCCGACCCTGGCAATGATTGGCTATTTCGCCGGAGGAGCCAGAAACGAACCGGAAGCATAGGGGACGGCGCGTGCCCGGCGTCCCGAAACGGTGCACGCACACGTAGGGGCAGGGCCCCGCGGCGATCGAGGCGGTGGCTGCAGCGCCTCCTCCTGCC